TGCCTTAAAGCAAATAATTATTACTCCAACCGAAATGAAAAGATATTACTATTCTCAATATTGATTCTAATGTTATTATTTTGAAAACCCATTGGAAAACACATGCAAAAATAAATCAAATTAAAAGCATATCAAGCAAGTAATTAATTACTTTTTACCAATATTTAATGAGAATAAGGATGTTCAATTATTTAAATACCTCGAGACGAGACCTTAGATTCGATCTAACAGTCTTTTCTCGATGAATTTAATTAAAAGAACATGATCTTTTTCTCAATCCCCAAATTTTAAAATAAATTCGATTTAATTCATGTCACTAAATTGAATATACTTTCGTTTTAAAATTATCAGAAGAAAACTTTCTTATACGTTATGACAGTCACTTCACGACAATATTAAAATGAACAAATATTACCCCTAGTCAATTTATTTCGATTAGAGTCAAGTGATGCTTATGAGGGTATCATGCAAAATTAATTAAGGACTAAAATGAACAAACATGCAAGCAACATGCAAAAATTAAAATAAAATAAAAATAAGACTAAAACATAAACAATCAAACCATCAATGTCAAAATTAAAATAAAATAAAGTATATAAGTGACTAAAATGAGCGTGTTTAATATTGGGTGCTAAAATTACAAAGAATAAAAATAAATAAAACATGGGGACTAAATTAAAATAAACTAAAATTTTATGGCCAAATTAAAATAAATAAAAAGATAGATTCTGGTTCGAAATACAAACATGTAGAAACTAGAGGGGTTATTTCCTAAATATTCTTTTTTCCTAGCCTAAAATATACAATCGAATAAAGAAAGAAAAATACTAAATCAGTTCATAAGCATTTTTGAAAAAATTAAAAAGTTATTACACATGACCAAAATGCAAAACACGTATAAATATACAGGAATTAAACAGTAAATAACCCTAAAAATATATATCATACTTAAAATGAGTAAATTACAAAAACAACCCCTACAGGTGACTAACATGCAAAAACACGCTAAAGTTAAGGGGGACTAAACAACAATTAAACCAAAAATTATAAAGCATACACAGAATTGGGTAAATTATAAAATTAGGTCCCTACAAGTGGCTATTTCCAAAATTCACGCTTAAAGTTGAAGGACCTAAGCGTGATTTTCCCCAAAACTTCTATATATACAACTTTTATTTTTTTTTTCTTCATTTCAACTGAAATCTTACAAAAAACAAAAAACTTTTCTTTTTTTCCTCTCAATTTCCTTCGGTCGGCCTACTGCCAGCTGCCATAATTGCCCCGGCCTCAGTTCTGACCGCCACACATGGTGGTCGGAGTTCCCAAATCAACCCAAAATAACATAAAAGTCTATATCTACAACCTTAGACATAAAACTAAGCATAAAACTACCTAAAAAAGGCTCCTAAACAACCAAAAAGACCCCAAAAAGCCTCAGCTTTTCGCCTCCTCGCACGCTCCGACGACGACTAACCGGCCCCGGTTCGACTCCCTCCCCTCAATTAACTACAAAACTAACACTTCTGTTTTTCTTTGGTTTGTTACATGAAAAGCCCCCTTTTTTAGTACTTGTTTCGAAACTGTAAAACAAAAAAATAAAATATGCCTTTCAAAAAAAACTTTTAACTTTCTTTGTTTTTTTATTGATTTTGAAAATCCCAGGGGAGAACCCCTTTTACATTTTCGTTCGAAGTTTTTATAAGCTCGTTTTTATAGATTTTCTCTTATTTTTGTGATATGAAATCATTACAAAAAAATAATGTTTGTGTGTGGTGCTTGTGTTGGGGTTGCTTGTGTGTTGATTTTTGTTTCTAACATGGCAGGGGGCTTGGTTGGTGACATCAACGTTGGTAGACGACTGGTGGAGATGGGCGGCGACAGAGGCTCGATCTCTGGACCATTTGTCCCGATGGCTTAAGGTAACCCTAATCAGCAGCTGATCTGGACCGCTAGATGGGTTCATATTCGACGGTTCTCGTGGAGGCGGCGCTGAAGAGTTATGAAACCCTAATAGTCATTTGATCTGGACCATTAGATGGGATGCAGATCTAACGGCCCTCAATCACACGACACTAGGCTACGTATAACAAACCCAAGCGTTTGGGCCTCATTCGGGTGGGCTGCATACCATATGGGTCTACTGAATGGGCTCGATTTGTACTGGGTCAGGCTATTTTTGGGCCCAATTGGGCCTAATTTGGGTTTTGCAAATCTTGAAATAATAAAAGTTTATTAATTAATAATAATAATAATATAAAAATTCCAGGACGAAAACCGCTATGAACAACATTCATGACATTAGGGTTCAAAAGTACTTAAATGTGTTATCAATTGAGTTTACTTTGATCGAATACTACTCATAAATCAACCCTTTCAGTTTATATCCCGGTCATATGAGGTAAGAAGAATAAAATAAAATGAGAATGAGTCAGCATAGATAAGATAACAAAACGACAAGAACAATTATAAAGAATAAAAAAATAAATACAAATGCAAATGCAAATTGTATTGATCCAAAGGAGGAATATAATATAAAAAGTTTGACTAGAGACAAGAAAAATCACGTTATTACAAGATAGTCAATTATTTACAGACGCAAATTTGCTTGAATGCCGCTCTTGTCTTGTTTCCTTTGATCAAAAAGTAGGTTTGTGTTCTGTTTCAGGATTTCTGCTTTCAAAGACATACCCCTCAAATGCTTCATGACCTTTTAGGCTTGCTTAACAACTTCACTTAAAATATGATCTCTATCTTGAATCTTGCCCCTGCGAAGTTAGAGTTGAGCGTTGTGCCTTGATAATTAAAGGTGGAATAATTATAGAATGATTCCATAACTACCACTGTTTGGATCAGGAGCTCTTTTCAAGCCTTGGACTTTTTTCAGTTTGATGTTGAATTATGGGTAATCCACCAACTTTGATAAATGTACTTCAAGCGAGTTACCTCCTTATTTATCTAAGCTTTTTATTATTGGTGCACGTTAGTATATCTCACTACTTTGATTGGATTTTTTTCCTTTATTTATAAAATTTTTCCAATTAGATAGTCAATTACGATTCAATACCTTTACATCGTGATGATTCTCAAATACAAAAGGTATTGATTTTGATAAATCGACTTTCCCAATCGGATCGGTTAGCGAATCGGTAATGCTACGGTTCACCGGTTTAATCGGTCGAATCGTTCGGACCGGTCGAAAGAATCGTACGACGTCATAATTATTTAAAAAATTAAATAAAAATACCAAAAATATTTAATAAAAAATAATTTTTTATATCACAAGTCATATTCAAAATAAATTATAACATATATAAGTTAAAAACCATAAAATCAAGTGAAACAAAATGATTCAAATTAACTACAACATAATATTTAAGGTAAAACATATTAAATAATAAATATAATTATATAACTATAATTAAAAAATAAATTTTGGGCTAAAAAATCATAACAAAATGATATTGTTTGGTTTAATTTTTTTTCAAAAACAATCTCATATGGCTAAGAAACATAGAAGAGCATCCCAAAAGTCTAAAGAGTAAAAATATGAAAACAATATAATCTCACATGGTTAAGAAACATAGAAGAGCATCCTAACTAACTTCTATAAATAATAGAGGTAATTTGAAATTCAAAATCATAGAACCTTTTGGTGAGCATTGAGTGAACTATTCTTTCACTTCAATCAAGCTCGAATTTTAGGCTTCAATCGAACTTCTAAATTTTTTTTGAGTTCAAGCTTTTCGAGTTCAAGTTTCAATATTATATTTCGAGTTCGAGTTGAACTTGATAATTTTTAGCTCGTGAGTTTGAGTCGAGTTGATCTTACTTTTAAAGTTTTCAAGTTCGAATCGAGCTCAGCAATACTCGAATTGGACTTGGCTCATTTAACAAACGATGTCATTTGGTTTAATTTTTTTTTAAACAAAATTGACGATTTTTTCCAATTTTTTTCGGTTTTCAGTCGGTCCAGTTTGAACGATTCAACGATTCTGATCGGTTCATTAATAACGGTTCAACCAGTATAGATTGAACCGAACTAAACAACAATTTCCAGTTGAACCGACTGATCCGGTCAGATTCGATTTTCAAAACACTGTCCATAGCGCTAAAATGCATGCCTCTTATCCCTCCAAAACGTTGTCATTACATAAACGACTAAACTTTAGCCAAAAATGGCTAAGAATTTCATTCTCTACTTTTTTTTTTTTTTTGCTCAAAGTGGAATTCTCCAAACTCTCTCCCTCCCTCTTCTTGTACGAGGGGAAAGACCCAACGTGTCGGTCGTTGTAAATCCGCGTTGGCAGTAGGGAAACCGATCAAAAACACCCATTTTTTGAACCTGAACCCCTTCAAAACTAAACCTTCTAGCTCTATAACCCCAAAGGAACCTCCTTTAACCTTAAAAATCAAAACTTTAAACCGAAACACCTTCCAAAAACTCCTCTAAAACAGCCTCTAAACTTAGATCTAGGAGGTAAGATGGTTACCTTTGGTGAACAGGGGACTCCTCACTCCGACGAAAAAACAAAGACTCACAAGGTAAGATTTTTTGGTTGCTTTTTGTTTTTTCCCTCTCCTCTCATATTTTTTCTCGAATAAGCTCTTGCCTCATTTTTAATGTCCCCGGTTTTTGTAGGTGATCGACGGGGCTCCCTTTTCTCTCACCTCCACATACTTCGTACGAGTGACAAAAGCTCTGGCTCAGGCATGTCAGTCGTCGGTCGAGTGCATCAAAAGGAACAGCGATAAAGGCACTAAGTGCGCCGGTTATTAAGGGATTTGCCTTGGTTGTTGAATCGACTAGAGAGCTCAACGGTGGCTTGATGATCAGCAGCAACTTGAAGTTGATGAGTCTCCTTTGGCGGCGACGGCTTGAAGATTTGGGATAGGCGACAACTAGAAATATGAAAATCCTAATGTATGGCCTTTTAATGTCCCCGGTTTTTGTAGGTGATCGACGGGGCTCCCTTTTCTCTCACCTCCACATACTTCGTACGATGACAAAAGCTCTGGCTCAGGCATGTCAGTCGTCGGTCGAGTGCATCAAAGGAACAGCGATAAAGGCACTAAGTGCGCCGGTTATTAAGGGATTTGCCTTGGTTGTTGAATCGACTAGAGCTCAACGGTGCTTGATGATCAGCAGCAACTTGAAGTTGATGAGTCTCCTTTGGCGGCGACGGCTTGAAGATTTGGGATAGGCGACAACTAGAAATATGAAAATCCTAATGTATGGCCTATCTTGGTCGTTGGATCATCAATATATCCAATGACCTACGAGGAGCGACAGCTAAGGTTAGAATGAAACCCAAGAGTTTTATACTAAAACTTAGGTTTTGGGCTAATTTGAGCTAATTTTGTTTGGGTTGGTTGGGCTAGTCTGGTTTGTTAAGTAGTTGGATAACTTGTATTACCTCCGTGCCAGAAAAAATTGCTCCAAGGAATCCAGGAGATAGAATTTTCTTCGTTGATAACCTCAATAGCATCTGAGTCTACATTCTACCTTTTCAAGGTAAAACCGATCCTAAAACATATTTGGATTGGGAAGCAAAAGTGGATCATAACTTTAAGTGTCATAACTACTCAGAACAAAAGAAGGTGCATATAACAGCCATGGAATTCATTGATTATGCACTGGTTTGATGGGATCAACTGACAAACAAACGAACTGGAGAAAGGCACATCAACACTTGATATGAAATGAATGGGATCATGAGAAGAAGATTCATTCATGTACATTACCATCGTGACTTGTTTCAGAAATTGTAAAATCTCAAACAAGGGATAAGTCACAGAAATTGTAAAATCTCAAACAAGAGAATGAGAGCCTTAAAGACTATTATAAGGAGATGGAAGTTTCCATGATTAGTGTCAACGTTGAAGAAGATCGAGAAGTAACAATGACAAGGTTTTTGGTTGGTTTGAATCTTGATATTGCTAAAAGTCAACATTTATCTTTTATTGATCTTTTAAAAGTCAATTTTTTTTTAAAAAAAAGAAATTTTATAATATATATTTCAAAACTAATTGATTGAATGTTTTAAAATATATTTTTCATATTTTTATCGATAATAAATATTAACTAATAATGAGTAAATTTTTTAAAAAAAAATTGATTAAAAAAGTCAATAAGAAACAATTTAAGTGGTACATGGAGTAATAGGTTTGAAATTTAATTTTTTTTAGTTTTATTTATAATGATTTGTTTATAATAATAATAATAATATAAAAAGAGGTTGGATAAAAATGGTGATTACCTGGCTCTTGCTAATGGGACAAAAATGCGGTCATGAAAAGAACAATCGAGAGGATAACAAATGAAAGCATAGTTTTTAGAACCAGACTGGTTAGCAAATCGGTCATGCTATCGGTTTATTGGTTCAATTGGTTAAATCAGTCCGATCGTTCGGAAGAACCGGACGACGTCATAATTATTTAAAAAATTAAATAAAAATACTAAAAATATTTATTTAATTAATAATTTTTTATATCACAAGTCATATTCAAAGCAAGTCATAACATATATAAGTTAAAAACCATAAAATCAAGTAAAACAAAATTATTCAAATTAACTACAACAATATTTAAGGTAACATATTAAATAATAAATATAATTATATAACTATAATTAAAAATAAATTTGGGGTTAAAAAAATCATAATAAAATGATATTGTTTGGTTTAATTTTAAAAAAAACAATCTCACATGACTAAGAAACATAGAAGAGCATCCCAAAAGTCTAAAGAGTAAACTATATGAGAACAAAACAATCTCACATTGCTAAGAAACATAGAAGCGCATCACAACTAACTCTATAAATAATAGAGGTAATTTGACATTCAAAATCATGGAGTCTTTTGGTGAGCATTGAGTGAACTATTCTTTCACTTCAATCAAGCTCGAATTTTAGGCTTCAATCAAGCTTCTAATTTTTTTTTTGAGTTCAAGCCTTTTTGAGTTCAAGTTTCAATATTATATTTCGAGTTTGAGTTGAACTTGATAATTTTTAGCTTGTGAGTTTGAGTTGAGTTGAGCTTACTTTTAAAGTTTTCAAGTTCGAGTCGAGCTCAGCAATACTCGAGTTCGACTTGACTCGTTTAACAAAAGACATTGTTTGGTTTAATTTTTTTTAAAAAAAAAAACAAAAATCCCAGTTTTTCCCGGTTTTCAGCCGGTCCGGTTCGAACGGTTCAACGGTTCTGGCCGGTTCACTAATAGCGGTTCAACCGGTTTAGATTGAACCGGACTAAGCAATGATTCCCGGTTGAACCGGTTAAATCGACCGATCCGGTCCGATTTTCAAAACAGAGGACTGAAGTGAAGCAGCAGGTATTTCAAAGCCTGTCGTATTAGCTCCTTGCTTGGTAAAGAAGGTCGATTGTTGAGGATTCTACCACATTTAAAAATACATATTGCCATGTTAGAGACATTGCAATAAAAAATGAGAGCAAGAAAAACACAAATGATTCTATAAAGCTCAAGCTATAAAAACTTTAGGGTAAAGTATATAAATGATCTCTGACTACATGATACTGCTTAGTTGGGTCTCTCGACTATTAAAAGTCATAAAATAATTTCATGACTATAGGTTACTATTTTATTGAGTCTCTCGATTATTAAAAGTTACAAAATTGTCACTCGACTATTCATATATTTTAATTGTATCACCATATAGTGAGGGACTATTTTTATAACTTTTAATATAGTTGAGGGACTATTTTATAACTTTTAATAGTAAGAGATTCAATAAGATAATATCCTATAGTCAATGACCATTTATGTAACATCCGCAATACCGGGTTAGTGACCAAATTGTAAAGTTTCAGAATTTGGTGACTAAAGTAGAAGAATGAAAGAATTCAATGATTATTTGAATATATATTGAAGGTTATTTGGTAATTATTAAGGAAATTAAGGGTATTATGGTCATTTGACCAGAAAGATTTTTTATAATTTTTTTTAAGGGTAATAAGCACGTATAAGAGAGTCCAGAGCATTCTTCAGTCTTCTTCTTCCTCCTCTCCACCGTGAAGCTTGGTATAAGGTAAGTGAGTCTTTAGTTGGTTAATTCTTTCGTTTTAAAGCTTGTTTTGATTCTTGGGATATTAAGAAAGATTAAGGAAAGCTTTAGGGGGCTTAAACCTCAAAGATTAACAAGTTATGAGAAATTAAGAAAATGAGTTTTTAAGTGAATTTTTGATATGGAAGGAGTTAATAGATGTGAAGTTGAATTTGACTTGTCAAGGATTAATTAAGAGGTAGGAAGTGTTAGAATTGGGATTAGAACACATTGGAAATTTGGTATGATTTTTGAATCTTATATGGAAGATAGAATTTTGAGGTTTAAGATGAAATAATGAATATAGATTGGTTTATGTGTACTAGAGTTAAGGATGAAAAGGGATGATAATGAGGTATTTGAGAGGAAATGAAGTAATTTTCGGGTTGAAATATGATTTCTGGTCAAGGGGAATCGGTACCCATTCAAGGGGAACCGATACCCCTTCAAACGAACAGAATTTCCAGTATGTCATGGGGGAACCGATACCCCCATAGGGGGGAACCGATTCCCCTAAAGGAAAATTGGGGATATGGATTTAATAAGTTCGTTTAAATTGATAGTATCCAATTACAAGGTGTAGGTATCTAATGATGGTCTCGAAATGTACATTTATGTAGATTCTACGCATAAAGCAATTCCGGAACGTTTAGCAAGTAAGATCGATCAAGGGAAAGATAAGAGATTGGATTTGGCTAGTGAGGCCAGGTGAGTGCATATTAGTTAGTTTATGGTGCTAAATGGAAATAAGACTTGCGACAAGTCTATTTCCTATGTTAGAATGCATGAATATGATTATACGTATATGCATGATGTGTTGACATGCTTTTGAATGTAATGTTATAGATATGTGCTATATAATGTATATATATACATAGAAACTGAACTATGTGACTGCATGAGAAAGATATGAGCCATATGACATGATATAGGTGAACATGAGAAAGCAAAGTATGAGATATAAACTATGTGATCATAGTAATATAATTTATTATATGATAAGTGAAATAAGCTGGATAATATTGATCTATAGATGAAGTGAAAATAGTACACCAACTAGGGGATTTGAACATAATGATAAGATGAACGTAAAGATAAGCTAGATGGGAAAGATTCATAGGTTTAAATAAACTATAACACATGGGTTGAATGATAGAAATTTATGAAGTTATATGAGAAGATTATAAGAGCTATAAGAAATTGAATTAAGTAACAGATAGATTATATATAGAAATAATAGAAGTGATATGTTTATAAGTCTGCCCTAGATGAATACGAAATATAAGAGTGCTATATATTTATATTAGGATAATCTTGAGGATATATATATATAGATAGATATGAAATGGAATGAAATGAGTTATATGATACCCAATTATGTGATGAAATGGTGATTACCTGAACATGTGAATATATATGTTTAAGAGAAGGCATACGATAAGATATAAGAAATGTGACTATAAGTATGTGCTTTAAGTGATATGACTTATAAGTATTCTATTATAATGTTACATGATATGTTATGTATGTTAAAGGAATTATGTGATGGTATAAGAATTGATAGGAATATATATGTGAAAACAAGTATATGATACGAGACAAAACTTATGACTATAAGCTACGTGAAAGTGTTCTAGGTGTTTCGATATATATATGAAGTATATGATCTTATGTGAACAAGATATGATAAGTATGTTATATGAATAAAGGTGATTGGGTGAGAAATGATAGAATTATATGAAAACATGACATATGTTACATGTGAATTATATGGAAATGATCTACGTGCAAGTGAACTACGGGACTATGTGATCATATGAAAGAAGCTATGTGATACGTGATATGTGAAAGTGAATACAAGTTTATGTGAATATTTGAAATGAAATAAATGATAACGCCCATGTTATGTGTCATGAGAGCTAGGGGTATAGTTGGCATGCCAAGAGTCGAGGGTTTATTCGTTCTTTAGGACATATGTATATCCTTTGGAACCTGTGAAGTCTTGAAAGACACATACTTGATCCTATATATGTATATGATTCT